AAGCCTGCTGGTCAGGGGAGGATGGATGCTGCCGTGTGTGTCCCGCCCCCGGCAACAGAACCCTGCCGCTCAGGACAATGGGGGGCGGAATGTGGCCGTGGACTGCAGTCTGAGCAGAGGGCTTGGAGTCCTGTGCCGGCCCCAGTGTGGCTGAGGCCTTTGCGGCCTGGCCCCATTGTGTGGCCGGTCCCGCACAGCCAGGAGGCGGCCAGAGCAAACCCAGAGGACACGTGTGCGTTGGCAGCGCTGCCTGACTTGCTAGTCGCCTTTCCCAGACACCCACTCCCTCGGAGGCACATCCCCTGGTCAGTGGGCCCAGCCTGTTGGTTTGATTTCCGGTGGTAAAGGGGGTATAACAAAACGCTTAGCGTGTCACCATCAGGGCCGCCGTACAAGAAACACACAGGCCGTAGGGGTGAGGGGTCATGAATGGACTGGGTCACCTGGACACCAGGTGGCAGAGCCCCAAAGGGCCCCAGCCCTGGTGACGGGCAGTCAGAGGCTAAAGGCCTCTAGGCTTTACACGGTCTGACCCTGGGCAGGTCCAGAGAAGAAAGATAAAGGTCTGACCAGTAGGAGGCGGTCCTACCAGTGGGGATGTGGTCCTATCAGTGGGAGGTGTTCTTACCAGTGGGATGTGATGTAAGTGGAAGGGAGGGGCCTGTTGTGAAGTGGCCTGTAGGACAGATCTTTCATTTCTTCCTTCTTTACTTCCTTCCTTTCTTCTCTCCTTCCTTTCTTGCTCTTTCTTCCTTCCTTCTTTCCATCCATCTTACCTTTGTTCCTCCATCTTTTCTTTGTTCCTTCTTTCCAGCCTCTATTCCTTCCTCCCACCCATTACTCCTTCCTTTCTTCCTTCTACACATCCATTACTCCTTCCTTTCTTTATTTCCTTTCATCCCTTCCTTCCTTCCTTCCTCCCTTCTTTCCATCATCCCTTCCATTTTTTCCTTCATTCCTTCTTCCTTCCTTTCACCCTCCTCCCTCCCTCCTTCCTTCCTTTCACCCTTCTTCCTTCCTCCTTTCCTCCTTCCTTCCTTCCTTCCTTCCTTCCTTCCTTCCTTCCTTCCTTCCTTCCTTCCTTCTTTCCTTCATTTCTTCCATTACTCCTTCCTTCCTGCCATCCTTCCTTCATTTTTCTTCCTTCGTATCTTTCTTCTATCCTTTCCTTCCATCAATCCTTCCATCCTTCTTTCATTTCCCCATTCATTCATTCTTTCTTTCCTTTCACCCTTAATTTCTTTCTGCTTTCCTTTCTTCCTATTTTATGTTTCCTTCCTTTCTTGCATTGTTTCTTCTTTCTTCCGGCCATCTATGCATCCACCCTTCTTCCATTCTTTCTTTTATACTGCCTGCATTCCTTTCATCCTTATTCTATCCACCTTTCTGCTATCTATCCAACCTTCCTTCCATTCTTCCATTTTTCTCCCCATTTTTCCTTCCTTCCTTCCTTCCTTCCTTCCTTCCTTCCTTCCTTCCTTCCTTCCTTCCTTCCTTCTTCTTCCTTTCCTTTCTTTCTTTCTTTTCTTTCTTTCTTTCTTTCTTTCTTTCTTTCTTTCTTTCTTTCTTTCTTTCTTTCTTCTTTCTTTCTTTCTTTCTTTCTTTCTTTCTTTCTTTCTTTCTTTCTTTCTTTCTTTCTTTCTTTCTTTCTTTCTTTCTTTCTTTCTTTCTTTCTTTCTTCTTTCTTTCTTTCTTTCTTTCTTTCTTTCTCTTTCTTTTTTCCCTCTTTCTTTTCCTTCCTTCCTTCTTTCCTTCCTTTCTTCTTTCTCCTCCCTTTCTTTCTTCATTTTATCCTTCCTTCATTCCTTTCTTCTACCATTCCTTTCCTGCCTTCCTTGCATCCTTGCAGCCTTCATTCCTTCCATCAATTTTTTCCTTTATTCCTTCCATCCATCAATCCTTTCTTCCTTGCATACATCTTTTTTTTTCTTCCCTCTTTCTTTCTTCCTCTTTCTTTCTTTTCTTTCTCTTTTCTTTCTTCTTTCTTTCTTTCTTTCTTTCTTTCTTTCTTTCTTTCTTTCTTTCTCTTTCTTTCTTTCTTTCTTTCTTTCTTTCTTTCTTTCTTTCTTTCTTTCTTTCTTTCTTTCTTTTTTCCTTCTTTCTTTTCCTTCCTTCCTTTCTTACTTTCTTCATTTCATCCTTCCTTCATTCCTTTCTTCCACTATTCCTTTCTGCCTTCCTTCCATCTTTCATTCCTACCATCCATTCTTCCATTCTTCCTTCCTTCCTTCCATCCATCAATCCTGTTTTCCTTGCATACGACTTTTCTTTCTTCTTTTCTTTCTTTCTTTCTTTCTTTCTTTCTTCTTTCTTCTTTCTTTCTTTCTTTCTTTTCTTTCTTTCTTCTTTCTTTTCTTTCTTTCTTCTTTCTTTCTTTCTTTCTTTCTTTCTTCTTTCTTTCTTTCTTTTTTCTTTCTTTCTTTCTTTTTTTCTTTCTGCTTTCTTTCCTTCCTACCTTTTCTTTCTTGCTTGCTTTGTTTCTTTTCTTCATTTCTTCCTGCCATCTATGCATCCACTCTTTCTTCCTTCCTTCTTTTCATACTTACTGCCTTCCTTTCATCCTTCTTCCATCCTTCCTTCCTGCCATCTATCCAACCTTCCTTATGTCCTTCCATCTTTCTCTCCTTTTTTCCTTCTTTCCATCCTTTCTTTCTTTCTTTCTTTCTTTCTTTCTTTCTTTCTTTCTTTCTTTCTTTCTTTCTTTCTTTCTCTCTCTCTCTCTCCCTCCCTTCCTTCCTTCCTTCCTTCCTTCCTTCCTTCCTTCCTTCCTCCTTCCTTCCTTCCTTCCTTCCTTCCTTCCTTCCTTCCTTCCTTCCTTCCTTCCTTCCTTCATTTATTTCTGCTTTCCTTCCTTCCTACCTTCTCTTTCCTTTCTTTTTTTATTGTTCCTTCATTTCTTCCTTCCTGACTTATGCATCAATTTTTCTTTCTTTCTTTCTTTCTTTCTTTCTTTCTTTCTTTCTTTCTTTCTTTCTTTCTTTCTTTTTCTTTCTCTCTTTCTTTCTCTCTTCTTTTTATACTTCCTTTCTGCCATCTATCCAACCTTCCTTCTATCCTTCCATCTTTCTCTCGTTTTATCCTTCCTTCCTTCCTTTCCTTTCTTTCTTTTCTTTTCCTTTCTTTCTTTCTTTTCTTTCTTTCTTTCTTTCTTTCTTTCTTTCTTCCTTCCTTCCTTCCTTCCTTCCTTCCTTCCTTCCTTCCTTCCTTCCTTCCTTCTTTCCTTCCCTTCTCTCATTCCTCCCTTCCTCCCTTCCTGTCTTCCTTCCTGCCTGTTTTCCTGCCTTTGTTTCTTTCTTGCTTCATTTCTTTCCTTCCATCTTTCCATCCATAATATCTTTGTTCTTCCATCCTTTTTTTCCTTCCTTCCATGATTCCTCCATTTCTACCTTCTCTTTTACCATACTTTCTTGCTTTGTTTCTTCCTTCCTTCTTTCCTTCCTTCCTTCCTTCCTTCCTTCCTTCCTTCCTTCCTTCCTTCCATCAGTCCTTCTTTCCTTGCATCCATCTTTTTCTTTCTTTCCTTCTTTTACCCTTTTTCCTTTTTCCATTTCTTTCCTTCCTTCTTACCTTCTCTCTTTCCTTTCTTTCTTGCATTGTTTCTTCTTTTCTGCCTACCATCAATGCATCCATCCTCCCTTCCTTCCTTTCTTCCTTTCATACTACCTTCCTTTCATCTCTCTTCCATTCTTCCTTCCTGCCATCTATACAATCTTTCTTTCATCCTTCTATTTTTCTCTCCTTCTTTCTTTCCTTTTCATCCTCCCTTTCTTTCTTCCATTTTCTTTCTTCTTTCCTTCATTCCATCCTTCCTTCTTTGCTTCCTTCCTTCGTTGCTTCCTACCTTTCTTCCATCCATTTATTCATCATTCCATCCTTCCTTACATTATACCTTCCTTACTTCCTCCCATCTATCACTCCTTCCTTCATCCTTTCATCCATCCTTCCTTTCTTTCTACCTTCCTTCCATGCATTCTTTCTTTCTGTGTCTTTTTTTCTTTCTTTCTTTCTTCTTTCTTTCTTTCTTTCTTTCTTTCTTTCTTTCTTTTCTTTCTTTCTTTCTTTCTCTTTCTTTCTCTTTCTTTCTTTCTTTCTTTCTTTCTTTCTTTCTTTCTTTCTTTCTTTCTTTCTTTCTTTCTTTCTTTTCTTTCTTTCTTTCCTTCTTTCTTTCTTTCTTTCTTTCTTTTTCTTCTTTCCCTTTCCTCCTTCCTATCTTTCTTCCTTTCATTCCACCCTTCCTTCCTTCCTTCCTTTCCTCCTTCCTTCCTTCCTTCCTTCCTTCCTTCCTTCCTTCCTTCCTTCCTTCCTTCCTTCCTTCCTTCCTTCCTTCTTTTCTTCTTTCCTTCCTTTTATGTAAGATTTGTCTTTTAAAAATATTTTTTTCTTGAGTTTAGAGAGAGAGGAAGAGAGAAAAACATCAATGATTAGAGGTATTAATTCATTGGCTTTCTCCTGCATGCCCCACACTGGGGATCAAGCCCACAGCCCAGGCATGTGCCCTGATCAGGAATCAAACCCTGACCACCTGGTTCGTAGGTTGATGTTCAACCACACCTGCTTGGCTGTAGCTGATCTTAATTGTGTATTTCATCAAATGTACAGAAGTAGACCTGCCTGTTTGAAAGTTTTTACATATTTTGATTGACTTTAGAGACACACAGAGAGAAACATCAATTTGGTGTTCCACTGACTAATGCATTCATTGGTTCATTCTTGTATGGGCCCTGACCAGGGATTGAACCCTGCAACCTGGGCCTGTTGGGAAGACGCTCTAACCACGTAACTGCCCTGCCAGGGTGAAAGTCTGTATACCTTAAGGCTTTCAGTAAGTCTTGTCCAAGGACCCTTTGCCAGCAGAGCATGGGAGTCAAATGAATCCATTCTCGAATATGGCATTTCCCTCTGCAATATAGTGCTGCTCACCTCCGGGGAGCAGTTCCAGCTCATGGGTCCCACCCTCATGACGCCCTCTCTTGGTTTGCAGATCCCCTGGATACATAGCCATGGGCTTTGTCATCCACACCCATTGCCAGGTAGTGAGTTTCATTCTCAACACCCTGAGGTGGATGTTCTCCATGATCCGCGTGGGCATAGCCAAGTGGCATGCTTGGTACTTGATGAACAGCCCCGCCCCTTTCCAGAGGCTGGCCAGCGTAGAGATGTGGAAGGTCTGCCCTTACCAGCCCAGCAGCCTCCACAGCGGACCCCTAGTGTGTCCCCGCTACACCTACAATGACACCTACCTGCTGCAGGATATCCGCATTGCTCAGCACCTGCTACTGGTTGCCAGCCTCCTTTCACTCCTGGCGAAGGTACTCACGATCATGGGCCTGTGGAAAGTGTACATGGGACAGCTTCGGAAGGACACCAATCTGTTCTTCGTTTCCGGCATCCTGAGAGTCATAAGTGGTATACTTATCTTCATTGTCGTGATCTGGAACTACAACTCAGTGATAAATGAAGAGGGCATGTGCTTCCCGCCATCCTCCCACAACCCTTCCGGGCCGGACTGGCAGGAGATCGGCAGCAGCATGACGGTGGCGGCTCTGGCTGCATTCCTGATGTTGTTGAGTGGGCTGCTTACTATCTCTTTCCAGCTGTCTCTCCGCTACCAAGTGCGCCCAGAACGCCCGGTTGCATAGGTCTGCAAATCGCCAATGAGCAGTTTATGGGGGTGAAGTATTATCAGGATGCTCTAGGAAATAGTTCCAAGGCCAAAGGCAATTTTGACCAGAAAGTGGCCATTTGCTTCTATGTCCAAATTGGGCTCATTGATTGGTTAAGGAACTTTCATTAAAATAATAAATAAATAAATAAACCTCCAAACTATTGTCCAGCTGGTTTACTGAGCCTGGATTTTAATTATTATTGAGTAGATAATGCTATATACCTACTGTGTGGAAATGTGGGTTGCTGAGATTCTCAGAGCTCCCTCTCAAACTGCCACCAAAACAACTAACCTGACCTTCTGTGGCATGGACCTAACACCTCTCCACCACATGGGATTTCTCCAAATGTGCAAAAGCAGAGTTAACTGAAAGACTCCCCCTTCCATTACTAAACTCAATAATTTTGTCATATGTGCTTTCTCCTTCCTTCCCTTCTTTTCCTTTATTTTTCTTTCTCTGAAGAACTTTAATGCAAACCCCAGGTGTCATGTTCCTTCATCCCTATGCACTTCAAAATCATTCTCTATTAAAAAAGGACGTTTCCTTGCATATATTATACCTTTAGTGTTAACAACTATTTCTTATGACCATCAAATACCAGAATTTTTAAATGCTTCAAAAGTAATTCTACACTTTTATGTATTTATTCATTTTTGCACTAGTGGCCTGGTGCATGAAATTTGTGCATGGAGGGGAGGTGGGTTTCTCAGTCAAGCCTTCAACCTTTTCATCCCTGTCACAATCTGAGACCACTGGCTCCTAACTGCTCACCTGTCTGCCTACATGATCTCTCCTGCTTCTGCCTGCCTGATCACCCCCAACTGCCCTCCTCTGCCAGCCAATTTGATTCTGATCGGTCAGTTTCTATGCCAGTCAGCATCTAAAGCTCTGCCTCCTAAGCAGCCATTGGCTACTCACAGTTCACCCAGATGTGGTTCTGATTGGTTAGTTTCTATGCCAGGCAGCATCAAAAGCTCCATCTCTTAAGCAGCCTTTGGCTCCTCACACTTCACCCAGATTTGATTCTGATTGGTTGGTTTCTATGCCAATCAGAGTCTCTGGGCCTGTCAATGAACCTCATCAGAAAAGCAGGGCTGATAGCAGACCCCGTGGAGGCTGGGAGAGAAGCAATTACTCATCAACAGCTGTCATACAGGCTAGAAATCAGAACCTGCTCCTCTCTTCAGGCCTCTCTCTGGGCCTGATACGAAGCCCCCTCAGCAGTCAGTGCTGGGTCGCCACGGTAACCCAGCGCTGACTACAGGACTGACTTCTGGTTGGTTGAGCCTCTGGTGGTGAGCCTCAGGGTTTTTATATATTAGGGTAAGATGTTCACTCAACTCTTAATTTTTTTTCTTAAGAGGGGAACTCTCTTAAAAAAAATTCCTTTATTTCAGAGCAGAGGGGAGAACAAGAGAGAGATAGAAATATCTATGATGAGAGATAATCATTGATTATCTGCCTCTTACACATCCCCACTGGGGATCAAGTCCCCAGTCAGGAATCAAACCGGGACCTTTTGGTTCCTAGGTCGATGCTCAAGTACAGAGCTACACCTGCTAGGCCCGTGGTCAACAAACTGTGGCTCGAGAGCCACATGCGGCTCTTTGGCCCGTTGAGTGTGGCTCTTCCACAAAATACCACGGGCTGGGTGAGTCTATTTTGAAGAAGTGGCATTAGAAGAAGTTTAAGTTTTAAAAATTTGGCTCTCCAAAGAAATTTCAATTGTACTGTTCATATTTGGCTCTGGACTAATGAGTTTGCTGACCACTGGGCTAGGGTGAAATAAGCTTCTTCTCAAAGAGGATTTAAGTCTCTGAGAGCACAGTGTTTGAAAAAATGTCCCCTGGGGCAAAAGTCGATGAGCTATTCAAATATGTGTTCCAAGGGCATTGCCTGTGACCCTAGAATGGTCAATGGCACCTTTGCCTCTGGGCTTGGAATCCGATCTGTGGGCAACGGACCCTTCCCTCTTCCCTCTGAGGGAGGGAGTGTGAAGTGGTAGGAGCATTCTTTAGGAAATGTCCCTTCGCTGCCCGCCATGATTGGCACACTGTCCTTAGAACTGGAAGGAAGTCATAGCCTCTGCACTGAGAGAGACCATGGCTCCCTTCCCAGGGGTTTGAAAGGAATGTCCAATGGCACAGTCAGGGCTGGGCTTGGGCGGAGTCTTACCCATGTCCATGCAGCTCCAGGAAGGGCTGGGACATGGTTCCTGGTAAACACCTGTAGTCAGTCTCATTTTTAAAATTATGTATATTTTTAATTGATTTTACAGAGAGGAAGGGAGAGGGATAGGGAGTTAGAAACATCTGTGAAAGAGAAACACCCATTTGCTGCCTCCTGCATGCCTCCTACTGGGGATGGAGCCTGCAACCAAGGTCCATGCCCTTGACCAGAATCAAATCCGGGACCTGCACTCTGTGAGGCAACGCTCTATCCGCTGAGCCAGGTTTGAAAGAGGGTGTGTGTTACTTAAGTGAGTCAAACCTCTGGTCATTTGAGCAAAGAAGCTCCTGGGAGACATGCTTCTGTTGAGGACCAGTTTCTGGAACCCGATACCCTGCGGAGGGCTTTGCGCTGCCTCCTGCTGGCCACGCGTGGGAATGACGGACCGTTGGCTCTGTGGCAAATGGTCTCTTGACCCCTCTTTACCTTCAGTGTCAACAGAGAGAGAGCAAGAGGACAGGTCATGAGGGTTGAGATACAGAAGGTGAGGCGGCCACCAGGGCGGGTCTGCTCTGGGAAGGGGGGGAGGGGGAGGGGAGGGAGGAGGAGGGGAAGAGTTCCAAGCCCCTGTCAAGGGCTCTTTGGGAAGGAGTGTGTCAGGGCCTCACTTTGTTCTTGTTGCACAGGAATCAGGCGAGGGCAGGTGTCCTGTGCATTTCCCACGGGGGTAGCGCAGCGAGGGCGCCCGAGGGCGGTGGCACTTCTCCCCTCCTCCTCCTCCTCCTCCTCCTCCTCCTCCTCCTCCTCCTCCTCCTCCTCCTTCTCCTTCTCCTCCTCTCCTCCCCTCCTCTCCCTCCTCCTCCTCCTCCTCTTCCTCCTCCCGGGATTCCTCCCTCAGTGCCCAGGAGCCAGAGGCTGCCCTGTGGCCTTTGGGTTCAGGGCCCTTTTGGGGGGCTCCAGGCAGGGAGGGTCCCTGATGACAGCACTTGGCAGGGAGGCCGAGCAGAGGCGGCGCCTGGGTCAGTGTGCGCTCCTGGACTCCATCAGGTGCGGGGCAGGGGCAGGGGCAGGGGCAGGGCGCCCGCCCCGGGAGCTGAGTGCTTCTTGGTCAGGAGTCGCTTTGCCCTTCTCTTCCTCGATCTCCCTGTTGGCCACCCCCCACCACTGGCCCTTTCTTGTCCTCCCTGCCCCCTCCACCCAGGTTCATGTGTGCCATGGAGACAGTACATGTGCAAGCGGGAGCAGAGTCGGGTGACAGCCATGTTTAAGGTAGAGGAGAGGGGGAGGGGAGGCTCTGCCAGTGGCACCGAACAGAGGCACCCAGAGGCCCCAGGTCAGCTCCCCCACCGCCCTGGGCTAAGGCCCTTTAGGGAGGCTGCCCCTGGCCTGGCCCCGGCTCCCATCCCTTCACACTGTCTCTCTCCCCGAGGCCCCTCCTCCAGGCTTTCTCCTGAAGACTCTGATGAGTCACGGGGCCCGCCAGCTCTAAGTCCTCAAAGAGGACATTCTCATTGGAGAAGGACTTCAACTCTTTTTAAAAATGCACTGTATTGTTATTGTTTTCAGAGAGAGAGGGAGAGAGAGAAACATCAATGGTGATAGAGAATCATAGATCGGCTACCGCCTGCATGCCTCTCACTGGGGATGCAGCCCGCAAGCCGGGCATGTGCCAGGGACCCCCCAGTCCCCAGGCCAATGCTCTACCCCCTGAGCCAAACCAGCCAGGGCAATACTTCACCCCTTAAAGACCAGCTCCCTGACTCTGGCCCTTTAAGAAGACTATTGTCACAGGCCTGCAGATCAGCCCTGGAAACATGAGAATGTTTGGTTTCCTTATCTCTGTTACTGCTTGGCAGTGGCTACCATTTGTACCTCTGAGACGTCCTCCTCTGCCTTTTTGTATTGGTTGGGTAACCATTGTACTTTATTTTCCCCCTGGTTAAGAAAGCCCTGAGATTTGTTTTTTTGGGGGGAGGGGTAATTTATTTAACCTTTTTATTTGCTCTGAAATAGGTTAACTGTCATCGGTGGTCTTACAGGGGAGATGAACCCAGGCCACCTTCCTGCCTTCCTTCTTTCCTACCTATATTCTATCCTCCCTCCCTCCCTCCCTTCCTTCCTTTCTTCCTTCCTTCCTCCCATACATCACTCCTTCCATCCATCCACCCTTTCTTCCTTCCTTCAATCCATCCATCCTTCCTTCATTGTTTCCTTCCTTCCATCCTTCCTTTCTTCCTTCCTTCCTCCCTTCCATCTTTCTCTTCTTTCTTCCTTCCTATTTTCTTTCATCTTTCCTTTCACATTTCTTTTCTTCCTTCTCTTCTTCCTTCCTTCCTCCCTTCCTTCCTTCCTTTCTTCCTCCCTCCCTCCCTTCCTTCCTCTTTCCTTCCTTTCTTCCTTTCTTGCTTCCTTCCTCCCATACATCACTCCTTCCATCTATCCACCCTTTCTTCCTTCCTTCCATCCTTCCTTCCTTCCTTCCTTCCTTCCTTCCTTCCTTCCTTCCTTCCTTCCTTCCTTCCTTCTTTCTGTCCATCAATTGTGAACGATCCACTTCCCGTGTGTTTCTCAGTTCGGGATCTGGAAGAGGGGCCATGCACAAATGAAAGAGATGAGACAAGAAATAATAATTTGGAAACTGAGTGGCCAGGCGGAGGCCAGGAAGACTTCCACCGGTGCCCAGGCCTCGCCAACCTTTTATTCCATTTTGGATGCACATCCAGCCCGTAGGCAGGCAGGTAATTGCGGTCACAGACAGGCTGTCCTAAAGGTCAGCAAATATTAGAAAGATCTACTATGTAATT